CCCACCCTGATCTGGGACACCCTTCAGGGCAAACCAACTGGCCCCCACCCGTGCACCAGGCCTCTATCCTATATAATAAAAGGGTAATATGCAAACTGACCCTAACAGCAGAATGACTGGGAATGACTGGTCACTATGACACACACTGACCACCAGGGGGCAGATGCTCAATGCAGGAGCTGCCTCTTCGTGGTCAGTGCACTCTCACATGGGGAGCTCTGCTCAGCCACAAGCCAGGCTGATGGCTGCCAGTACAGCGGTGGTGGTGGGAGCCTCTCCCGCCTCCTTAGCAGCGCTAAGGATGTCTGACTGCAGCTTAGGCCTGCTCCCCGCTGGCAAGTGGACATCCCCTGAGGGCTGCCGGGCTTCCAAAGGGATGTCTGATTGCCAGCTTGGGCCCTATCCCCCCAGGGAGCGGGCCTAAGCCACCAGGTGGTCATCCTCTGAGGGGTCCCAGACTGCGAGAGGGCACAGGCCGGGCTGAGGGGACCTCCCCCCCCCAGTGCACAAATTTTTGTGCACCGGGTCTCTAGTGAATAAATAAAAGGCTAACAACAGTATTACCAAAATATTCAAATACTTCTGTGTAAATACCAGTATTCCACAATCTAGAAAGATTGCTAATAATAATGAGCATTTATTTTAAATATGTAGCTTTCATATATCAGAAGACATTTTAAACTCATGTTGGCCTCTTGCAGTTACTGGCTTTTACTAGTGTTGCTTAGTATTTATATAGAAAACACTAACTTATCCCAAGGGAAAGCAGCTCTTTTCAGATGACTAAATGAAAAAGCGAACTAAAAACTTGCCCTCTGGAATTCATCACTTTGAATGCACAGCAAGCTGCACCTTCCCTACCCTGCCGCTATCCCTTGGGTTAGACACACACACCTCTGCAAGTGCAGGCAACTTGCTAGGAGAGGCGATTTAAGGGCAAGGGGATGGTATGGTACACCAGCACCACCTAGTGGGCAGTGGAGAGAGGCTCAGAGCCCCCTTGCTGCTTCATGGATGAGCAATTTGTTCTACCTTCATCAGGTCACTTGTTTTCAATGCCCAGATCATCAGAGAGGTTCCAAGATCAGGACTCACAGACAATAGGGCAAGTGCTGCAAGGATGCTCCACAGGCTCTCCGAAATACTGTGATGCCCTATAACCTAATCACATGTATCCTGCGATGCCAGCATGGAAAGCAATACCTTGGCTTAGAGCACTGAGCACAGAGCTGTGCATGAGTTTACCACCACAGCTTTCTCAGTGGAAACCATAAAAAGGCACAAACCATTTGGTATTGTCTGATCAAACCATCCAGCCGTATATGTTAAGCCAGAAGCACAAATAATAAATAACCATTTTCTCCCTTTAATTTATTCCATAAATATTCACTTAGTAACTACCATTTGCATGGGTGCGTGCACACAAACCTCACAGAATTTTAATATTTATGAAACTTGATTATTTTTCAAGGTTGTTCAATTTCTATAAAAACAGATGTTAAAATACTAAATCAGATTATATAACTAATACAGTAGTAAATATACACATGTTGTCAAATTCTATTAATTTATTGACAAATAAGAAATCTGAATAATTGGCAAAAAAAGATCTCTAGGATGTTTTTAAAAGCAATTAAGAATTTCTGTTCTCTCAGTCTCCAACTTACTTCTTTCAATCAAGATAGTCCGTGTCTAAAAATGAAAATTTTCTCTGTATGTTTATGTCTTCTCTGTAGACCAGTGGATTCTCAGATGGGGATATGTGCCTCCCAGGGGGATATGTGGCACAGTCTGTCTGTTCAAGGATGCCGCCATCTGCCATGCACATGACAGTCACCCACACCAAAGAAGTATCTTTTCTAAAAGGTCAACAGAGCCAGCTGAGAAAACCCAATCTACACTATAAGATGCTAGCAGACAAGAGCAATGTCTTATTAAAAAATATACACTAAGTATTTGGTAACATAAGGTAACTGTTTGGTGAAATAAGTTGACACTGACATCTAACTCATTCTTAATATCCCCCATCCGTGTGAATAGCATCCAGAAAAGGGTTGGCTGCAGCCCCAGAAAAAGACTGAAACTGACACCAGCAGACACACACCAGTTCACTAAATAGACATAGTGAAATAATTTGCCTATACCAGCCGTGGGCAAACTACGGCCCGCGGGCCGGATCCAGCCCATTTGAAATGAATAAAACTAAAAAAAAAAAAGACCGTACCCTTTTATGTAATGATGTTTACTTTGAATTTATATTAGTTCACACAAACACTCCATCCATGCTTTTGTTCCGGCCCTCCGGTCCAGTTTAAGAACCCATTGTGGCCCTCGAGTCAAAAAGTTTGCCCACCCCTGGCCTATACGGACAGTGGCCTGTGTGAAATACCACACATAACTACTGCTCTGACTTCAGATTGGTGATGCACTCACTAAATTAATGTTCAAAAGAATGCTAATGTCGGAAAGCACATCCTTGACTGTAATAGGGCAGAGCATCCTATTCTCTGGGAAGGTGCACTCCACTCCACACACATGATCATTTGTAAATTTTGTTGTTCAAGGCCAGCCTGTCAGGGTCCAATCACCCCAGACACTGGGTAAGACCAGGGCACAGACAGCACTATAGGAGGGTCGCAGGTGATGGTGCTGTGATGAGGGTTCTTGGTGAAAAAGTTAGCCAGACTTCTGACCATTGCCCCCTTGCAAACAATTACAGCACTTTTGAGTGATTCCCCCCCCTCCTCCACAAAATGAAGTTTCTCCTTGAAATTTCCTATTTAAGGTAACCAGTGTGAGCATACCAATAAATATATGAAGACACTCTCTATGCATATAAAATTACATTAAAAAATGGGGGGAAATCTGATATATTGCCTGCTATTTTCACCCAAATTGTTTCATGGACATCTGTATGTCAATAATCAGCTCGATAACAGACATTAGGTGATTTTAAATCTTAAATTCACTCAAGACACACTGTTGTAAAGGTACCAATTGTTTAAGGATGGAAAGTATAAGGAGTATGTGATATACACCCCGGTCCCTGTTGGGGAAAAAAATGGTAATGAACAAAACAAGTAACAGTCAGGCAGAACGAGCGCTACAGCTATAGTGCCCGAGACAGTCTCAAGTGGAAGTGCCTCAAGTTAAAAATAACAAGAACTGAAGACATTCTAGGGCAGCTGTTCTCAACCTGTGGGTCGCGACCCCTTTGGCGGTCGAACGACCCTTTCACAGGGGTCGCCTAAGACCATCCTGCATATCAGATATTTACATTACGATTCATAACAGTAGCAACATTACAGTTATGAAGTAGCAACGAAAATAATTTTATGGTTGGGTCACAACATGAGGAACTGTATTTAAAGGGCCAGAAGGTTGAGAACCACTGTTCTAGGGATTTAAGTCCATGTGTAAGATACGCTCCCACATTTTAAGGTCATGCAATTTAACTTTAGGGAAAATTCTCATTAAATATGAATTATAAGGACCTAACCTAATGATCTTCTGGCTACCAACTGAATAGAACTCCAAGGTTACTTCAATGTTAAGGACATTAACGGCCTATCTTTTCAATAAAACATACTCTGAACAAAGAGAACCACTAGAAAGATTTTTATGAAAGTTTCTAAACAGATCAGAAGAAAATCAGCCTGGGAGTTTGGCACATTAAATGACTTGTGTCTTACTAGTAAGTGAGGAAATCCCTGGGTAATAGTAATAATTTGTATTTCTCTACAAGTCTCTTGGTGAAGAGATGATGAAATCAGGTTAGATGCATTTTCCTAAGTCAAGACCAACCAAAGAGAGGCAAGAGAGAACAGAAACTCTAAACAATGTACACAGAAACAGTAGTTCAGGTCTGTTACGAACAAACCTCACCAGATCGCCTATAGTCTGAAAATTCACATTAACCCAAGAAATGTATTCCTTTGCCTTATTTCAAACAGAATTTGAAGAAGGTTATAAGCATACTTACAATATAACAGGAAAAGTATATGTACAGATAAGTAAATTTAGCCTAAAGGAAAGAAAGGGTAGAATAATAAAATGAAGCTAAGAGAAAAATCACCTTGGAAATGTGTGTATTAATAAAAATATTCAGAACTTGAAATTAATTCTAATTTATGAGGTAAAAAAGAAGCTTTGCCACTCACCAATTTTAACCTCTGTAAAGGTATTCTGCCTACATCTATCTGTGTCCTTTCTGGGACATTAGTGAATCGAACTTCTGGGACCGCGACGGCACACATGACATGGGCCCACCTACAGAAAAGGAGACATTAAACATAAGCACAAGTTCCCTAAGCTTATATACCTCATACTTCAACCAGGCAATGCAATTCTCACAAAGGGGAAACACACAGATAAGAAAGAAAGCCAAGAGCCTGAATCCATCACAAACAGACTACTCTTTGAATTTTAAATCTATTAGACAATACCTGGATGGATTCAGTAGCACACCTGCCCACCACTGTGACATGAAAAACTAGGTAAAGACCAAAGATTCAATCCCATCAATATATGTATGGTTTTCTATGCTTGACCTGCAAAATACTGAAATGTAGGTTTGCTGTTTCTTTTGATAGTGCAATACAGGTGTTTAATATATTTTAGCTAATTAATATGTGGCAAAAGATTAATTCAAATAATAAAAGTTATGAACTGGGTACAGTACATAATCTTTTTACATAATACAAAAGCCATAAAGCAAACCAAAATAAACCACAAGTTTTCTTAAAGAACTAATACTGATTAAGTCTTTAATTAAACTGTCTCTCATTGCAACCCCACTATAATCAAAGGAACCTATTAGAGACAAGAAGAAATGAAATTAGCTTGTTCCCTTGTTTCCTACTTAAAATATAGCATCTCCTTTCAAACTCTGAATTACTCCAGAAAATGATAACATCCCCACTAACACCATTAAGTTTTTCATCAATATTATGTCCCACACAAAAAGCCTCTTGAGGTTTAAAAAGTTCTTGAAAGAATTATCAATTCATCAACCTATTTGTAAATCAAACCATATTTATTTCACTCAAACAACACAAGATTCCATGCTGCCTTTAAAAACCACAGGAGGAGAAGACAAGTGTCAAACCCATCAGGGTACACTCTTCCATGTCTAGATAAATACTATAGTTCCACAGCAAACACTACTTCTTTTTGTCCTAGCCCAAGAGTAGGAAAAGAAGTTCTTATCATCTCTGTCTTTACACAGGAGCCACCTAAATCATCTAAAAGTGTGTATGACTTGTACAACATCCTAGAACTAGTCATTACTTTTTAGCAAAGTGCCTATCACATTAACTGTGAAAGATGAAGATCCCAAATTAAGCGAAAATACAGTTTCATAGACTCATCTTTATTCTTCCTTATAAGCAATCAGAAACACGTGCACATGCACACAATTATGCAAACTCCATCATTACATTACACCCAGGGCCCCAAGTCCAGTGCCGGTGGGACCTCGCAGGACGTAAACAGTGTACAGGTTAAATCATGGGAACTTGGGGAACGCATGCCCATTTAGACCAGGTTCTCATCCCAACTTGTTATGGTCATATAGAGAGGCACAATCATTTTTTCAAGTGAAGACAAAAACCTGTATTTTATTATAAAAGTCTCTCAACTTTTAAATTTTGGGTCAAATGTATAAAATGTGTATCAGTCAACTAAAACATATCTTGGGGCTGAATCTGGCCCTCAAGTGCCAGCTTAAAACCTCTGCCTAAACCATGTCTACATATTTCTATTTCTAAAGAATTCTATAAATACTTTTCCCCATTTTAAATAGTAAATTCAGGTCATGAAAATAAAATTCACACAAAAATATATTTCAAGAATCACCAAAAAATCCAGATTACCTTTCGTTTATGTTCACATAAGACTCTTCATATTCTCCAACTGTCCCCTCTAAGTGTTAAAATCAACGTTTCTCTCTGTATTTCTATTGTAGTACATATACTTTCTTGTTAATTTGCTGGTGTTAAAAAGAAATGGTTTCACTTTAATGTTATGACTGATTGATTTTATTTATGTGAAGATAACAGATTTCACTGTTTTCTGCCATACTGTTTTTATTGAACAAATAGGATTCATCATATTAAATGCTATGATTCCAACAGCACCTAGAATGATATGGGCTGCCTTCATTTAAAAGACTCTGTTAGTACAAAGGGGTTATTCTTCATGGTGTCAAAGACAGAACAAAAACAAGAGTTGGAACACCTTTGTCAGCAGAGGTGAATGTGGTGTCAGTAAAGGTCTCTGCACAGAGTCCCAACCTCAGATCTGGACAGCACAAGCCTTGGAACAGTGTGTCCAATAATGACAGGTAAAGCAAACTGACACCCAGAGGCTCAACCATTCCAGACAGAAGAAAACAATGAAATTCAACACATGGAACGCATTACTTACTTATTGTCCTTGGTTTCCTTAAGAGCACCCCCTCTCAAATTGCAGAGACAGCACTCCTAGAGGAGAAAAAAAAATGCCACACAATTATCAGACCTATATAATAAATTACTAGTTAACTAAATGTTCCCATAAATTCTCATTTTTTATTTTAAAATTAAAATCATTAGGAATTTTATTAAGGCCTATCTCTGAGCAGTTTGAAAAGGGAAAAGCAAAAGAGAGGTGGGAAACTGAGGATGTAACCTAAAATGTCCTCATATACATATCTAGAAGAAACCATCATTATGCTGGTACCATGTTCAGCTGCCACCTGTGCAGGAAAGCAGTGGCACAGAGAACTTGGTACCTGGAGAGGTACGAACTACAATTCTAGAAGAGACCATGACCGGTTCTCGTAATCTGTGAACCAGATGGCTAAAGAACAGAACTGGCACACTTCATTCCAAGGTAAGGAGAAGCAGGAAGCACTTTGTAAAAGATGTGGCTAGAGGAGTGAAAAGGGCCTATTACAGAAACTGCAGTGTTGAAGAAGCAGGAAAGAGATGCCTGTTAAAGGAAGCTGAGAATCAACTAAAGATCATAAAATTATCATTTTGGTCTTTCTGTGAGCAAATGGTATTGGAAAGATTGTTCTGATAAACCCAGGCTTCCTACCCCAGAAGACAGGGCCATAAAAATGTCTTCCTTTGCCCACATAAGTTTATATTTTTGGCATTTTTATGTGTCTTAGATTGACATGGACATTTTCACTCCAAGATCACTCCCTTTACTATAAATACACACTATAGTCATCATTTCTTATTATAATCTTAGGGAAAAATCCATGTGTAAGTAGGGCCAGAAAGCAATGCAATGCCTTTTGTTGACCTAGAACTTGTTATTAAATACTTAAGCAACTCTTTTTATTTTCAACTTCAAGCTTGTCCTCCCAATTTACTGCATTAATAGAGTTTTTAAAAATAGTTACAGGCTTTGGTAGATGAGCAAACAATGCAGTATGCAGATGTTTTATTGAGGTGTACAACTTGAAACCTGTATGGTTATATTAACCAATGTCACCCCAATAAATTCAATTAAAAATAGTTACAGGCTATTTTGTTCTTTTTTCTCTAATCTGTATGTATAAAATTTCTTTATCTGTTCTCCAAGGTGATCTGTAAGTAATTTTAACAGATCTGCCTAGCTTTAAAAGGACTCTAGCATAACAACTATTAATAACGGAGTGTCAGACTCCATTGCTTTTATTTTTCTGAGGAGAACAATAACAAACAACTGAGGAGAATAACATATCTGTATAACTCTTAATAGGCAGCAAAAAAAGGCAAATAACCAGAGACATTCAATGGTTTTATGTGTCTGGAACATCTCTGCACATCTATTTGAAATTTCCTAGGTGATTATCAATAGTTCTGAGTAACAAAAACTGCTCTGTGTACATACATTTGAATCCATAATAAACCCAGCTCAAGGAGATAACTCAATGGAAAATTTCTCTATTCACATCACAAAGCCTTTGAAAGAACTTGTTTTGACGCAGCCCACAATGAAAGAAATATTTCAAAATCCAAATATTAAAACGGAGAATTGCAGTAATTCAAATTATTTAAAATATACAAATTATTCCATAATAATTTCATATACCATTACTAACTTTATTTTTTTTGCCATTAATTTAAGATGCTTTCCACAGGTTGGGGGGAGAATGAAAACGAAAACAAAACACGAGGTCAAAATAACATATAAAAAGATAGTATCAAAGTGGGAATGCAGCAAAGGAGAGCTGTGGACTGCGAGAAGCTCAGACACTCAGAGAATTAGATGTCTGATTAATGAAACTAGTACTGAGAAGATGCCTAAAGGGACAAGTTAGCAGAGTTAAATACAGCAAAGCAGCATGGAAGCTGCTTTAAGCACCTGATTAGGATCATTAGCAGGTACACATGTTGCAAAGCGCTACTATAACAGGAGGAAAAGTCCCCTAAAGTAGAATAACAGGTAGACAAGATTTTCAGTGGAGTTGAGGAGACTCCCGCTTACTACACTGTGAAACTCGCTCTTTCTGCGATCACCAGTGACCCCCATGTCACAAAATCTAACAGATCATTCCAAGTCCTTGGTTTGCCTGACATCTTAACAGCATTCAACATATTGATCATGTCTGAAACAGTTTTCCCCTGTGGTTTCTATGACCCATAGTTTTCCAACCCCTAACCAACCAGCAAAGGTAACAATTGGGATTCAAGCTCAGGTCTGCCTGACCACATGTCCAAGCTCTTTGTCCCCACCATCGTCTGCCTCCAGGTACAAGGCAAGGCACGGGATATCAAAGTAAAGTGCCAAAATCAATAAGAGACTGTGCCTGCCCTAGGAAGCTCACAATTGAGAATGGGAGAAGACCTGTGGGTATTTAACCGTACTGGAACTAACCAATACCTGCTAACTTTGACAGAATCTTTCATTTGCATGAAGGACCAAAATAGGAACCACACTTGTAAATTTCACTTCTATAAAGTATGCCTTCCTTTGTTCTCTTTGGAGCATAGGTTGCTACTTGAATCTGTCCCTCCCAGGTTGCAACCTTTTTGGTCAAATAAATGCTTTATGTTCTTTATTACAGCCAGAACCTCTTCTTTGGTTAACACAAGGAACAAAATATGGATCTGTCACTAATAATGCTCTTGAGGTGCAAAAAATAAGATGCAGAACTGGGGAGAAAAGAAAACTCCCCAGGAACCTAAAATCTGGCAGCTAGGCTCTAAAGCAAGGATAGGTCTTCCACGGCTCGAAAAGCCACCAACTCAGCCTTACAAAGCAGATAGGCGCTGGAATCTCCACAGTGCTCAGAGAACAGACACTGCTAAACGCAAAGCCCTGATACCACCCTCAAAACATCTGAAACCAGAGTAGACAAAATCAAACTAAACCTGCAACAAAGCTCAGACACCAATCAAATACAAATCAGAATGACTTCACTCTTACTCTAGATCATAGATGAAGAAGCAAGCCTTTACTAGAAATAGTAATATTGATTTCATTTGCTATAGACAAAATGTCCAGCACACAATAAAGGCGCCTCACAGAAGGTGCCAGAAGGTCAGAGCATCATGCTCAAGGCTTTGCAAGAGGCTACAGCACCTAAGCCACAAAGGTCCTCCAGCAGTGACCTCTGTGCCAGCCCCAGTCCTGTGCCAGCCCCCGGTCCACATACCCAGCACACCCAGACTTGGGAGTGGGAGAAAAAGACAGAAAGAGACTGAGTTTTGTGGCTCTAGGGTGAAGGAGGGGGCAAGGAACAGAGAGAGAGACATCGATGTGAGAGAGACACAACAATTGGTTGCCTCCCTCACATGCTGTGAAAGGTCAATTGACAAAAAAGTAGCAGTAGTTTTCTGTAGAAAATGAGATTTGAGATTTGACAAAGGAGGCAAGAGCATACAATGGAGTCAAGACAATCTCTTTAATAAATGGTGTTGGGGAAATTGGATAGATACAGGCAAAAAAATGAAACTAGACCACCAACTTATACCATACACAAAAATAAACTCAAAATGGATAAAGGACTTAAATGTAAGATGGGAAACCATAAAAAGCTTAGAAGAATCCATAGGCAGCAAAATAGCAAACATTTGTCGTAGCAATATCTTTACCGATACACCTCCTAGGGCAATGGAAACTAAGGAGAAAATACACAAATGGGACTACATCAAAATAAAAAGGTTCTGCTCAGCAAAAGAAACCACCAACAAAAAAACAAGAAAGCCCACTGCATGGGAAAACATATTTGCCAATGTTATCTCCAATAAGGGTTTAATCTCCAAAATTTACAGGGAACTCATACAACTTAACAAAAGGAAGACAAACAATCCAACCAAAATATGGGCAAAAGACCTAAACAGACACTTTTCGAAAGAGGACATACAGAAGGCCAAGAGACATATGAAAACAAGCTCAAAGTCACTAATCATCCGAGAGATGCAAATCAAAACAACAATGAGGTACCATCTCACACCTGTCAAAATGGCTATCATCAACAAATCAATAAACAACAAGTGCTGGAGAGGATGTGGAGAAAAAGGAAACCTCTTGAACTGCTTGTGGGAATGCAGACTGGTGCAACCACTGTGGAAAACAGTATGGCGTTTCCTCAAAAAATTAAAAATGGAAATACCATTTGACCCAGTAATCCAACTTCTAGGAATATATCCCAAGAAAACAGAAACACCAATCAGAAAGGATATATGCACCCCTATGTTCATAGCAACACAATTAACAATAGCTAAGATATGGAAACAGCCTAAGTGCCCATCAGCAGATGAGTGGATTAGAAAACTGGTACATCTACGCAATGGAATACTACACTGCTGTAAAAAATAAGGAATTCTAACCATTTGCAACAGCGTGGATGGAACGGAGAGCATTATGCTAAGTGAAATAAACCAGTCAGAGAAAGATAAATATCACATGATCTCACTCATTTGTGGAATATAATGAACAACATAAACTGATGAACAAAAATTCAGAGACAAAGAAGCATCAAACAGACTGTCAAACTTTAGCAGGAAGGCAGGGGAAGGTTGGGGGGAAGGGTAAGAGATCAACCAAAGGACTTGTATGCATGCATATGAGCATAACTAATGGACACAGACACTGGGGAGGAGAGGGCATGTGCCAGGGGGAGAGGGAGGCCAGGAAGAGATCAATGGGGGGAAAGGGAGACATATGTACTACTATTTGTAATACTTTAACCAATAATATAAACAATAATAATAATAAAAAGAAAATGAGATTTGAGAATCTGACAGTGTTGGATATAGGAGACTCCTCTAACAATATACAGACATATGAAGAAATTAAACCTTTTTTCTATTAAATAATTTAATTTAATATAACTGTGGAGGTTTATCCTATTTTTCCTTTTTTCACTTAAATTTAAATTTTAAATAGGACACCTATGATTTCTTCCAGAGTTTTTCAGTGTACTAAAACTTCTCTCCAATCTAACCTATGGAGATACCAAAACTGTGCAGCCTTGCAGAAGAAAATAAGTAAAATTACA